GACTCTGATGACACCCTATGAAAGGCCTCACCATCCAGGGGGAGCAGAAAGGATATGTGATAGGTAGGGTTTTAGTTGGTGGGGGGTGGTAGGGGAGGACAGGAGGGAGAGGGAACTGGTATTGTCATGTAAAACAATCTTGTTTCTAATTCAAATAAAAAATTGGTAGAGGCAGAGAGGCAGAGAGGCAGAGAGAGGCAGAGAGAGAGGCAGAGAGAGAGGGAGAGAGAGAGAGAGAGAGGCAGAGAGAGAGGCAGAGAGAGAGGGAGAGAGAGAGAGAGAGAGGCAGAGAGAGAGGCAGAGAGAGAGGGAGAGAGAGAGAGAGAGAGGCAGAGAGAGAGGCAGAGAGAGAGGGAGAGAGAGAGAGAGAGAGGCAGAGAGAGAGGCAGAGAGAGAGGGAGAGAGAGAGAGAGAGAGGCAGAGAGAGAGGCAGAGAGAGAGGGAGAGAGAGAGAGAGAGAGGCAGAGAGAGAGGCAGAGAGAGAGGGAGAGAGAGAGAGAGAGAGGCAGAGAGAGAGGCAGAGAGAGAGGGAGAGAGAGAGAGAGAGAGGCAGAGAGAGAGGCAGAGAGAGAGGGAGAGAGAGAGAGAGAGAGGCAGAGAGAGAGGCAGAGAGAGAGGGAGAGAGAGAGAGAGAGAGGCAGAGAGAGAGGCAGAGAGGCAGAGAGAGAGGCAGAGAGGCGGATCTCTGTGAGTTTGATGCCACCCTGATCTACAAAGCTACACACAGAAACCCTGTCTCGAGGGGAAAAAAAAAAAAAAAGCCAGCAGAGACAATTCTACCACAAGGTTTACTACTGGTTCTATGACTAAGATTTGTTGAGCAGAGTGCTAGCTTCAAGGGTTACAGAAACATACTTAAAGAAAATAGTGCTGGTTTTTAACAAGAGTCTCTTTAAAATCCCAACTGTTTTTAGTTTTAAAAAGTTACTATCAAGCTTACAGGTCGCTAGTTCTAGTTAATTTCTTTTCCAAAAGTTTGTAAAACTCCATAAAAAGATGACTAGGAATACAGCTCAGTAGGAAGGCACTTGCCGAGTGAATAGGAATTGCTAGGTGGAGTCCCTAGCACTGCAGAGGAAAAAGGAAAATAAATAAATAGTTAAAATAGTCAATGTGTAGTTAACCCAGTTCAAAAAATATTAAGAAGATAGACAAGGCAACACACATCTGAAATCCCAAAGTTTGACACTATATGTTATTTTTGCTACATGGTTACTAGATGGTTAACTAGAATTTTTTCTTCATAACAATTATGACTATTGGAGGGTGAAGTGGTTCAGCAGTGAAGACTGTTAGCTGCCCTTCAAAGGACCAGATTTTGTACCCAGCACACACACTGGGCAGCAAACAAACTTTTGACTCCAGCTTCAGGGGATATGACACCCTCTTCTGGCTTCTGTGGGTACCAGCACTCATGTTCACATACCCACACATAGACACACACACATAAATAAAAAATAAAAATCTTACTAAGAACTGTAACTAAATACTCACTCGATGGAAACGATGACGGCGTTCAGCTCCTCGGCCATTGATGTGCACAGCTCGTCATAGTAGCTGATTTCTGTGAGAAAGGAAGGATCACTACAAAAGTGGCCGTTCATGTTGTCCACACCTACATGTTTCTGAGTACAGACTGTTTTTAAACTAAGATAATAATAGCATCAAACACTGAAAAATGTATGTGAGCCAGAGAACACTTGCTTCTAATCTCAGCACCTGAGAGGTAGAAGCAAGAGGGTCAGGAGTTCAAGGCTAGCATGAAGATTACCCAGGGATACATGCGACTATGTCAAACAAACAAACAAACAAAAAAAAAAAAACAAAGGAGAAGAAGTGGGAAGGAAGGAGAAGGGAAGGGAGAAGGAAGGAGAAGGGAAGGGACAGAGGGAGGGGGTGGGGGAAGAAAGAATGAAAGCTAAGCAAACAGAGACACATTCAAATGCAAAAATTAAATCCAGTTTCTGATAAAATGTAATTACTATAACTAACAGGAAATCTGCATTAGATTAGCTTTGAATATGTTTTTAATTTACTAAACATTTATTTCAAAATAGGTTATATGAAATATACCAAATTAATTCTGATTTTGAAGCTCTTCAAATACACCCTTTCAAAGCAAATTGGCAGTTTCCTTCTTCAAATTATAAGATTTTGCACTTTTAACACCCTCGTTTGCTGTGATTCAGGAAATCAGCAATGTGAAGAATATGGAAGTCTCTTTAAGCCAACACAAAAGAAATAGAATTTTAGGTGGTTTTCCTAGGAAGGGGACTCAAATGTCCATAAGAACAAAAGTCATTTTAATAGATAAGAATTGATTCCTACTTATTATTCTTTCAGTATTTTAAATCTCATCAGATAGGACATAGCTCAATTGGCAGAGCATTTGCCTAGCATACATGAAGCTTTGGTTTGATCCTAGCCCCACATAAACTGGGAGAGGAGGCACATACCTGTAATCCCTGAATTTAGAGGTGAGGGCAGGAGAATCAGAAATTTAAGGTCATTCTCGGCCACATAGGGAAGCTAGCCTAGAGTACATGAGACCCTGTCTCAAAACAAACAAGTAAACAACAAAAAAGACTTAATGCCTCAGCAGAGCACCTAATATTCCTCTCTGTATGGGCTTGCATGGCAGCCTTAGAATCAGCAGGCTAAAGAGTGCATGCCTGTCTGTACACACTCACCAGTCCAGCTCTCCCTTGGGTACACCAGCCAAAATTAAGGAGACTGACTCTCATGACCCCGCTCTTCTGTCATCCATACTCCCTGTCTTGGACAATGGCATCTCCCATGACAAGTGTTCAGTACCCTTTCTAACACAGATGCCCTATCTTACTCATTTTTGGATCTCTGTCTCTAGCACACTTAAGAGTGACTGTAATGGTTAACACTGCCTGTCAATTTTGAGATACAGAATCACCTCTGGGCATGTCTGTGACAAGTTTCCAGACTTTTTAATGGGGCAAGGAAGATCCATCTTGACTGTGAGTGGCACTATTCCATTAGCCCAGCTCCTGAACTGAAAAAAACAACTAACACTTCATGCAGTGTAACAGTCCACCTTACGTTCCTGACCATGACCTTCCTAACACAATGGACTCTTCCTTCCTTCCTTCCTTCCTTCCTTCCTTCCTTCCTTCCTTCCCTTCCGGGTTGCTTCTTGTTCGGTATTTTTTCATAGCAGTGAAAAAGCAACTAATACAGTGACCCATGGTCCAGGTCTGCCCACGGCTGTATCTATACTAAAAATCACAGTATTGGACACATTTACATATACAGTGAGCATGTGCTGAAACTGGGAACAAACCAAAAAGTAACAGAATAAATGATGGGTGTGGATCGAAATGAAATGGAGTTGTGAAAGAAAGTTGTACAGTCTTTTTTATTTTCTGCGTTAAGCATTTCTATAACAAGATAATAAAGAAGAGACCAAGTTTGAATTGCTTTTCTATTTTGTTAAAATCACATTTTCATTTGTGTGTGTCTGTGTGGGGTGCACATGTGCCATGATGCACATGTAGAGGTCAGAGGACAACTTCTGGGAGTCAGTTCTCTCCCTTCACTATGTGGGTCCCATGGATGGGCTCGGTCATCAGACATGGTGGCCAGCACTTGTGTCTGCTGGGCCATCGCGCCAGCCTGTCACTACTTTTCAGTATAGAGAACACCCGAAGCTCTGGCCTGAGGATGAGGAAGGAGGTCACCAGAGGCAGAAGCCCTGGCTCTTTTGAGACAGGCTCCTTCTGGTCTTCTTCCAACCCATTCTGCTCTCAATAGATGTCCAAATCCACGGGAAATAGCCCTGTACTTGAGGATGCTGCTTTCTTTTAATGGCTGCATGCTGTGGTATTTTAATCTTTGGTTTCATAAGCTGATGCTGATGAATTAAGGTGTATTAAGCAATACCTGCTCTATTTCATAAAAAGAAGCCTTCAAAATAAAAGTTGCCCAGAGTTACAGATAATTACCTCCTATTCTGGCCCAGTGGAAGTTTACCTTATTTTGATATAGAAAGCTAGTTATCAACGGATCACAGTATGTCTAGGATTTAGATCACAGAACTTTTACGTATTTTAGAGACAGGGTCTCTAGCCTAGGCTGGCCTCAAACTTAACTGAAGAAGACTTTGAACACCAGATTCCCATCTCCAACCCTTTAGTACTGAGATTACAATTGTGTGACAGCACCTCTGGTTTATGTAGTGCTGAGGATCGAACCACGAGCTTCTGGGATGCAAACCAAAGTTTGTGCATGCTAGACAACACTCTGCCACCCAAACTACGTTCCTAGCTCAGAAAATATCTATACAGCAATCTGCCAGCACTAAAAAGTAAATTGAGGACTGGGGCTCAGTGGTAGAGCCATCATCTCACAGCATGACGCACTACTTTCAATAGCTAGTACAGAAAATATGAAGGATGGAAGAGAGGAAAGGAGGGAGGGAGGAGGTGGGTGTGGTGGGGACAAGAAGAAAGACAGAGGAGAAGGGAGGGACCAACAAGCCAAAACTCTCTATACTATAATCACATAAATGAAAAGAGGCACTGCTGATGTGGCCACAATGACAGGAGAAACCAGTATGGTCCAGGAGAACCAGTCCCATTTTTAAACAGTAATCACACTCCCAGAGCCAAGCAGCTGACCCACCTGAAGGTGACAGGGACTTACTTGCACTTGCCAAGGCCCAGCCTCCTCCGTGGATATAGACCACACTTCGTCGAAGTTGCTCATCGGGTTTTGGAGAGCCTTCAAACACTCGGACTTCCACACCATCAAAGTCAGTGTCAGTCACCTTCACCTTTGGAGAAGAGCTTGCGCTTTTCTTGCCAAAAGAAACGATGATGAAATTCAGCGCGATCAGGTGGTGGCTCAGCCCCAGGGAGTGTATCAGGTTACTCTTCAGGGTAGTGGTGAAGAAAAATGGACTAGTATTAACTGTTTGCACCAGAGCGACCCCCCACAAAACCATGCTCACCAACTCCACCTTTGGGGTTGGATTTTTTTGTTTTGAGAGCTAGGAGTGGGGAGCAAGGAGAGAAAGAACCATCTCACTATGTGGCCCTGGAGACCCTGAAACTTGCTCTGTAGACTAGGGAGGCCTTGAACTCAGAGATCTGCTGGCCTTTGCCACCTGAGTGCTGGGATTAAAGGCAAGCATGCACCAACATCCTGGCTTATTTTGCATCTTGATTTACTCCATATTCTAGGCTGGCTGCCTGGGGACAGTCGAGTTCTTACAGACAACTGCTCCTGGACTGGAACGGTCACTGGACACTTAGAATGTGATAAGAAACTGTATTCCCCTTTGGGGCTTAGAGTTAACAGCATTTCCCCCTCCCTCTCCCCCACATACCTACTCCCACACCCTCCTGTCTTAAGAGTAGCGTTTACATAGAACCTATGCATATGTTCCCAGACTTTATTTTAGTAGTGCTGGGTATCAAACCCAGGGTCTTGAGGATGCTAGGCAACTGTTCTACCACCAAGCCACAGCAACAGCCCTAGCCCTGACAACACATTATCAGTCCCCTTTAAAACTCCTTTTGAACCCAAAGTGCTGCCCCATCTACCAAACTGGGTGTCTGGGTGTCACCACGATAAACAAATATGTGATGGAGAGGTGAGAAGGATAGAAAAAAAACAGAGCAGTTCATGTGCTAGTGAGAGGCAGAACTGGAGATGTGATGTGGGTGACAGGTGAGAGAGAGGGCTGGTGGACAGGCTGTCATTGCCCAGTATGGTTGTCGGGATGGTGTGCAACAGACTGGAGCTTATGCAGATGCAGCCCAAACCTTGGAACCTGCCGCCCGGCCATGGGATCCCCCTGATCTGGGCAATGACAGAGGCCCATCTATCTGGAGTGGACCTCCTCAAAGGACCACTGTGATCTGAGATACCACTGGAAGCCATTTTGGTGTCTGTGTCCATGCTGCTACCCCCCAGACTGTGTTGAAGCCTGAGATCCATGTGGACGTGTATGCAGCAGTCTGTGCTGCTGACTGATGACGTGGTGATATCCTCGGTCTTTGCTGCCTTGGGGGGACATCCTGATGTGTTCGGCATGTGTAGCCACCTGAGGCCCATGACCCACACAGCTGCTGAGGACCATGAGTGGGCTGGTGACCCATATATAGCTAAGGGTCGTGTGCCATATATGTCAAGTTAATGTCTGTGGGAGAGCTGCTCCCCCTTCCCACACACAGCATGGCTTTTCTCAGCTGATAGCTTATGGACAGATGCAGCCGAGGAAGACTCTTCCTCCCAGGGGGCACAGGGTGGCCACTAGGATTCTGACCATGTTCTAATGAGTGTTCAGACAACACAAAATAGACTTTGCTTTTTCCTTTTTCTTGTTTTATGTGGGGGGGGGGAGGGGGAGGTCAGGGGAAGACTGGGAGGTGAACATGACGTGAGATTTCCAAATACTCAATTAAAAAAACAACAATTCATTTTTGGAGACAGGGTCTCACTAAATTGTCCAGGCTAGCCTTGAACTCATTGTGTAGTCCACTCTGGAGGAGATGGAATTCCAGACCTGCACCACAAGTCTTTTTTCTTCCTTCCTTCCTTCCTTCCTTCCTTCCTTCCTTTCTTTCTTTCTTTCTTTCTTTCTTTCTTTCTTTCTTTCTTTCTTGTTTTTTCGAGACAGGGTTTCTCTGTGTAGCTTTGGAGCCTATCCTGGCACTCGCTCTAGAGACCAGGCTGGCCTCGAACTCACAGAGATCCTCCTGCCTCTGCCTCCTGAGTGCTGGGATTAAAGGCATGCACCACCAACGCCCGGCCCAACTGCTGCATTCTAGATGACTGTAATAGGTTTATTTTCTAAAACCAGTCTAACTTTCCAAATAAACACACTATAGTCTCAAGAAAATGCCATCAATATTTAAGTGTAAACGAAAGAAAGGAAAGATTCGTGTTACATTAAGCATTTTAAAAGTGTTATAAAGCTTCTACATTTAGATGTGTCTGGTCTTTTTAAAAGTGGGGGAAGTCGGGAACACCTGAGAGAGGAGGAATGGCATAACCAGGAACTTTGCCGAAAAGGCTAGAGAGTATACAAGCTAGGCACAGGGTAAGTCCCTTAGGACGTAAAAGGATTGGTGCAAATGAGAAGCAACCCGAGCTACACAGTGTTCCTGGCTAGCCTGGGCTATCCAGTAAAATCTTGTCTCAAAAAAAAAAAACAAACAAAAAGACATCTGCGTTGAGGCATCATAGGAAGTACAGTTAGAGAAGAATCCTCCTCACCCAACAGCAAAGACCTTTTGGAGTTAATTTTTCCCTCTCCACTCCTGGCTCATGGGCTAAGAGTACAGCTACACAATCATGAAGAGCAGAGTTCAGACCCCAGAACTCACAGAACAAGCCTGGCATCCTGTAAATTCCCATAGCCCTCACTCTGAGGGATCAGATGCCCTCTTCTGAAATGCATCCTCCCCATACTTACCCCCCATACACACTTGCACAGAAACACAAATAAATAAATATTATTTTTTAAAAAAGATTTTCAGCAAAGGGCACAGCTGGCCAGTACTATGCTTTATTATAGACTATAAAACCAGGATCTGACAACAGCAACAAGCAAGCTACCACTGCAGGTGGGCCACACTCACCCCTGAACCACTGACCCTGGGGAGGTGTCTTTACAGATGAGATGGTTCATGTGACAATCTAGCTTCCCCTGGAGCGTGTCCCAAGTCACAATCACTTGACTCAGTTTACCCAGTCCGCCCAGGAAATGCTGAAAAGCACTGCATTATAAGCCCACCAGCCGTTATTCATGGGAAATATGCCAGGGGGTGACTGAGCTAAAAACAAACAGCATTTGGGGAATATTCAAAATCAACAGGAAAATGAATATTGATAAGAATTCAACTTCTATATATGATCTGACATAGCTGTCCAACTTACTGAAAACTTAAAATAATTATTAACATCTATCATATTAAATAAATGGAAGGCCAGCAGTATGGTTCTGTGGGTAATGGCACTCACAACGGAGCCTGACAAACTGAGTTTGATCCCTGCAACCCACATGAAAAGGGGAACTGATTCCTGAAAGTTGCCCTTTGACATGTTTGTTGTAGCTTATGGACACACAAGTACTTAATTAAATAAATCTAAATAATTAAATAAATCTAAATACATAAATGAGGAAACAAATATATGAACATGGAGGGTTTTGTGTGTGTGCGCGTGCGTGTGTGTATGTGTGTGTGTGCGTGCGCGTTTGTGTGCACGTACGCTATCTATATTCTAAATTTAAATTCTTTGGCAAATTAGAAAATGGCATTAGGCTCGCACAGTGAAAACCATCAGTCTGGCTGGGTACACTGACACTGACCAGGACATCACTGTACATCTGTGTGGCATGAAAACTAAGGGGAAGAAAAATTTCTTTCTACTTGTGATACTGTGATACTCTAGACTTGACTCAACGGGTTGGTAGAACATTTGTTGCAACACGAAATGTAACCTATTAACTTTGTGGTCTGCAGTGTTTAGCTGTTGAGCTGGATTACTTAGTAAACCAAATAATTTGTCACTTTTGGAAGTGTTCTAAGATAGCTTCATGTTTAAAGGGAAAAAAATTAAGGTGACCTAAATTTCATCTTAAAATTTTCATCCCCTGTAGTTAATTCTGCATGTACTAGTCCTAGAAGTAAATACACAAGCTAAAACAACTGAGGAATTCCCCATGTGGCTAGTTTTCAAAGTACTGAGAACAAAACTAAGCTTCCCTAGGTCTTGTAACTCAGCAAGGCTTTTGAATAGAAATATAGTGCCCAATCACATTCTGCTTTAAAAGGTAAATACAGATGAGATAAAAAGGTAAAAGAGAGAGAGAGAGAGAGAGAGAAAGAGAGAGAGAGAGAGAAAGAGAGATTAGAGTAAGCACAACAAGCTGTTCCAACACGTGTCTCAGTTTACCCAGGCCGTCCCAGAAACAGTTTTGCTTCTTACTTAGCATTCACGACATTAGCTCAGTTTCTGAAAGACAGACAGTGTGTTTTGTTTACAGCAGCTGCTGGGGGTGGGGAGTGGGGTGGCACTGAGAACAGTCTGTTTGCAAAGGAAAGAAGGCAAGAGGGAAGGAAGTAGGTGGTAGAAAGAACCCAGAAAGTTCCTAAAAGAATGGGTGATGTTAGAGAAGAAAACAATGCAGTTACCCTAAAACCAGGTGTGACAGTGTAAGCCTATAGTCCCAGCACGTGTGGGTAGAAGGGTTCAAAGTCATGCTCAGCTACATAGTGAGGTCAAGACCAGCATGGGATATGTGAGTTCCTGTCTCAACAAACTAAATCAGTTACCCTGTGGTCAATATAAATAGGGCCTAGGAATGCAGCTCAGTTAGAGTAGTGCTTACCGTCATGTACAAAGCCCTGTGTTCAATCCTCAGCACTACATAAACCAGGTGCACATCTGTAATCCAGTAGAAGTCATGGAGGCTGGAAGCTTGGCAGCTCAAGGTCATCCTTGGCTAAGTAGTAGGTTTGAGACTAGCCATGCTATCCAAGATCCTGACTCAAAATGTGTCTACCTCCCCAGGTCTGACAGCCAAAGAACGAATGACAGAATACAGTAAGAAACTGTACTCTGTTACTATATAAATTTTTGGGGGTGTGGTTTTTTGTTTTGTTTTGTTTTTCAAGACAGTTTCTCTGTGTAACAGCCCTGGCTGTCCTGGAACTCACTCTGTAGACCAGGCTGGCCTTGTACTCACAGAGATCTGCCTGTCTCTGCCTCCCAAGTGTTGGGATTAAAGGCATGGCCACTGTACCCACAAATCCACTGCAGCTATGATTATCAGCACACCATCAGCCATCATCCGAACAGGCAGAAATAGACCCACCAAGTTAAAAAAAATAAATAAAAAGGACAAGAGTTTAAGGTGCA